CCTTTATAAATTGAGCACCGGCTGTCCAGCATGCGGAAACCGGTGTGCCTTCGAGGGGAACCGGATGAAACTCGCCGTCATTGTTCCAAGGTCAAACGTCCCGATGTTTTGTTTCGAGAAGTCCCGCCTGACACACTATGTTAGGCGGACTGGAAATGCAAACAAACGCTACTCTTCACAGCAAAAGCCGGCATACGCTTCCTTAGTTACGGATCTAAACGACTTGAACGGCTTGAGCGACGTAGGGCGAATAAGGAAAGTTAGTAAGAGGGCTCGAAAACAACGACTTTCAATTTGAAGAAATAAGAAATCCAATATTTTTTGTAAAGCCGCATTTTTATAATCAACTTAATATTTGCAAAATTATAGTCTACTATCAAATTTTTCTTCCCATCTTTGTCTTGTGAGGGCCATATTTGTTTGATGCACCCCGAGGGCGCAAAAATCAATGCAGAAAAAAGGGACTCAGAGCTCAGTATGTAGTGTATCTAATTGGTAGCGAATGGCGAACAGATAAGTAGCCATGTCATCTTCCAAGATAGCCATTGAAATTAAGACACATAAGCTTCCTACATTAAAAAAATCCAGTTCAGTTATAGTGTTTTCTATGATGGTATTTATTACAGATTTTCCTTAATACAGAGGAAGAAATGACGTACAACAATTTCAAATACATTTTGGGAAGATCGCCGCCGCTTCTTAAGTTGGAGGGCTATGGGCAGATTATTGCAAATTACTAGTTCAATAAGGTAAAGAGATTAAAGTTGTTTTTGAAGAACTCCGATTTTTCACATTTACTTATTCTATGAGTTGATTCGCTTAGGTGTTTTAAATTTAAAGAGTTTGACGATAAAACGTTTTATATCATTTTTAAACCGGCTCAGACCGATGCTGGGGGAACGCTGGATGCCGCAGGTTCCTCCTGGCGAGAGCTCTTTTGTGTGAACCATCAATACGGTTTTCAGCGGTCCTACGATTAGGGAGGTATGGAATAAAAACAATGAGTACGAACCGTTTGAGCAGTACCTCAAGTCATACTCACGATAAGTGAATGGAAGGTGTGGGTATCAGTTTTGTTGGTAGCCCTGGTTTCGGCTTTGCGCAATTTCTCTGTTCTTATGCTTCCTCAATGAAACCGTTGCTAACATTCTACTACTTTTGCGAAATAATCCAACTATACATACCGATGATTTCGTGCCTAAAAAAACTGCGTTATCACAAATAGCAAATAACAGATTTTGACTGAGAAATGCATACAAAAAAGGGAGAAAATCGCTCCAGCTCTCGCACCCAAAGCCTCTTGTAGACCCAAGACTAAACAACTTGTTCGTTAATTATGCTGTCTGCAACGTAGTTTCGGAAGAGCTCCATGTTCATCTTTTAAATTGCCCTAGCTGACCTCTTGTATGCCATTTGTTGCTGGCTTATATTTTCCAATCATTCTTTAGATTTATATTTATTAGGCTTTCAAGTGTATACATGTGGAAAAGCCCATGCAAAATTTCCCTAATTTTGTTTTCGAGCTAAGATTTATATTTGTTAGGCGCTCAGAGAGAGGACTCAGGGGAGGAAAAGTTTATGTCAACAAC